ATGGAGATCTCGTTACCAATTGTAGACTGGGTCTTAGGATGGCGTGGCTAACTCTTTGACTTAGGATGACATGATTCCCTTCTTGACTCTAGGATGACATGGTTCTAGGATGGCGTGACAAACTCCTTGACAACTCTAGTATGGCGTGACTCCCTCCTTGACTCTATGATGGCATCACTCCTTCCTTGACTGTAGGATGGCATGGTTGCAGGATGGTGTGGTCCTTGACTATAGGATGACATAGCTCCAAGATAGCATGGTTGACTCCTTGGATTTAGGATGACATGGCTGACTGTGCTCTCTTGACTCCATGGTGAGCCGAGCTAGGTCTCATCTGGGTTGGGCCCATTGGGTTTTGTCTGGACCGGTCTCATTACTTAAGTTGGGTCTTGTTCAGGCCAACCTCCACTATCCGAGTTGGGCCTTGTCTAGGCTAGGCCCATCAAATTCCAAATTGAGGCTTGTGGAGTATTCAAAGCATAAATAAAGAAGGCATCTTAAACACAAGACATGCAATCCCATATCGGAAACCCAACAAAAGTGAAGAAGACTACATGTGTTATAAGACGATAGCTCATTTTCCTATTTGAGTAGTGGCCTTGTTTGGCAGTCTCGTACCGATTTCTAGATGGGACAAGCTAAACGGAAGGTGGCTGGCTGAGTTTAAAATATTTAATAATAAATAAGATTAAAATAGTATATTGGTTTGGATGGGGGAAAAATCATTCGGTTTGTAACGGCTTTTTAAAAATTGTTCGGATTGAGCCGAGTTTGGACGGTTTTCTAGCTAGTCATTTGTATGAACAATTCAATTTAAAAATTGGCTTGGCTTAGGTTCCTGTTCAACGAGTTAACCAATCAGCCGGGTTGGGTTTTAAAACAATATATGCAACGCATGTATGATATTTGTTATGATAATTGGGTCTCAAATGTATAAACCTTTTATTTATAACTTGTACATTTCAAATGATGATGTGTTGGAAGATTTTCATAAATGCTCTAATTATTACCTTTTACTTATACTTAATCATAGAAAGCTTTTGTTATTTATTTGTATGATTTGTGAAATATTAATATTTAAAACTTGTACATGCCTGAGAAAATGATTATCTTTCTGGGGTGTGATTGCTCATCTTTTACTAATATTTTCAGAGACTAGCATGAATCCTAGAGCATAGGTGATGAAATGTTTGTGGGAGTTTGGACTAGGAAGAATGTCTTTTGAAAATCCTTTTTTATTTATATGTAGAAATGTTAGTACATAAACATTGTGTTTGAAATTTGGTAAAAAAAAAAAGCAAAACAAAACATTGTGTTTGAAATGGGTCATTTTGAGACACTTGTGGTGTATACTTAATCATCTCATAGACGAATTTTTTTTTGGTATTGTAATATAAAATTATGACTTTTGGTATTAAACTTTGGTATATAAATGTATTGGATGAATCTAGGTTTTATGAGGACTTCGTGGACCTGCAATTACCACCCCAATAAGAGAGCCTCGGAGTTGGTGATGAAACTGGGGGCTTCTTGGTTCATGGGTTTATGCCTTGATGGAGGATGAATGCGATGCAATGGAGGACGTGATCTCATTTCAAGGGTACATTTTTCATTAAAATAATTTTTGTGAAATCCGTAATTTTAAAATCTGACCTGGATATCAACATAAGAAAGTGATCGAGGTCAATGGGTTACTGGTTCAACCATTATATCACTAGTTGAGCTAGTCAAATAATAATAAAAATATAAAATAATTATAAATAGTCTAAGAAATCACAATAATTAACATGATTAATAAATATTAGATCAAACAAAACCCCCATAATCATCAAACATATGTCCAATGCATATGTATCCAAAGCGGGGCACATGTAAATTATAATCCACTTGAAAGTACAGATACTGCCCTATAACGGTACAACTCAATTATATATAATGAACAACAAGAATCATCAATATTTAAAATCTGGCATCAAGAATTGCATAATTATTGAAATGGGTAATCTGATTATCAATGTATATGAAATATGATAATTGTTGAACATTAAAATAGGCCAAAATTTATGCAAATACAAATAAACTAAATCTGAAATAGACCAAAAAAACTATATATATTCATATAACATACTATAATAGCAAGGAGATAAAGAGAGAGAGAGAGTGTGTGTGTGTGTGTGTTATAATACCAGATGATGTGCCTCAGATTGTTGACTGAAGGATGAAGAAGATGAAGATCACACAAGGTCGAAGAGTTGAGAATTTGAGTAGTTTGAATCTTTGAGTCTTTGATTGAGTGATGTGTTATTGTGTTGAGCTGCTAAGTGAACGACCAGAGAGAGAGAGAGAGAGAGATGACTAACATGTGAGAACCAATCAGAGTCGAGTAGAGGCAGAGGCAAAGCCAAACAAATCAATGTTGAAATGAAATTTGTGCAAAAATGCCTTAGAACCCGTCTTTATAGCATTTGAATTAAACCGTCTGGTTCAACAAGTTTGTTACAAAATCGGGGCAGGTCACCAGGCTTGTCCGATTCATTTGCTCGAATGATCTAATAACTAAATCGACCTGATTCAGCCTTCGATCCATCAGGTCAACCCACCAGACCGATTTTATAAAATAATGGTGACATTAGATATGTTCCAAGCACATGGACCTCATGCCTTAAAAAGTCCATGTCTGGATTTATTGACAAAGCAGGTAAAAAATTATAGTTTTCAACAATTTTCACTAAGAATATACCTAATTTAATTTAGTAGTTTGACAATATACAAATAAGACTTGGATAGTAGTTATTTAGTTCAATCTGTTATTTGTTTATTTAGGCGCGAAAAATCTCTTTATGGATATTTTGGTAATGAAATATAGTAGTTGTTGACTTTTTGGACTTGATAACCAATATTTAACTCTAACGCGTCCTTTAGACCTTAAATCAAATGTGCTTCTATCTATTGACTTAAAATAATTGAAATACACTAACTTATTTATCTAATATTATGGTTAAAAAGTTAAATTCTTACCTTATAAAAAACATTATAGTCAAGGTTGATTAAATTTTTATCTACTTTGATCAAATTGTACAAAATTCATTTAAAATTTTATTTTTTGGCTCAAAAATATCAATTCAACTAATATCCTCCCTATTATCAAATAACTCAATTAATCCATACATACCTCTCTTTCTCTCTCATATACCTCTTTCTTTTTTTATTTTTGTTCACGTTAATTTTAAATTATATAATTAAAAAAATAAACTATTATTTAAAATATTAATATTAAATGATGATAATAAATAGTGTCTTCAAACATGTGCTATATCTAGTAACTTTCTACAAAAAATAAGAGAAGATAAAGTTGTATCAAGTGTTGATAAAAGGAATGAATTATAATTTGAGATATCTTGAGTTCGAATATTGACAATCTCTTAGAGTTATATCATATTCTAATTTCAACGTGAATGACTTACTTTTAATCGAAAAATAATAAGGTTAAATGCAAAAAAAAAAAAAAATCTCTTGTATTTAGGGTCATTTGTACGTGACCCCCCTCGTAGGAAGTTGCTAATTTAACGAAAGATGGTAGACGCGCTCAAATTTGCATGTGTCTCTCCAAACCTTAAAATACTTCTTAAAATACCCTCCCCAACCTTGCCAACTCTGTCCTCCAAACCTTCTCCTTCACCGAAACCCACCACCTGCAACACCAACATTGCAGTCCACTCCTGTAGCAAAACGCACCCCCACAACACCTGCCCCATGCTAGCCCACCCCTACTTAGCCATCTCTCTCTCTTAGACACACACACACACACAGCCTATTTAAAATCCTCTCCATTCCTCACCAAAACCAACCTCTGCAACACGCCCACCCTCGCCGGAACTCCCCCAACCGAGGCCACCCCCGCAACATCTCTCCCACGCTAGCCCCCCCTGTAACTCTCCATTCCTCAACGAAAACCCACCTCTGCAACACTCCCTTCCTCACTGAAACCAATTCAGACAAAGAAATCTAAACCCCTAAAAAAATATGTACAAAATTTGATCTTCAAGACCCTCTTTCTTCCTTCCCTCCAACCTAGATTAAATTCACTTCCTCTAACCAAACCCATTTGAAAGGTAATTCTTTTCATGTCTTCAAACAACCCCCAACCTTTCAGATGCATACACTATAGGCCTGAACTCAAACGTAGATGGTTTACCCTCTAACCCTCTCATCTCTTCCATCAAATTCTAAAATTCACTAGGCAACCCAATTATGCACAAACCATTAACCTTTAGCTTATAGTAGAATGTACATAATTCACACTCTCTAGAACTTATTTTGGAGACGGCTTTTGAAATTAGGGCTTCTACTTCGTCCCACTTTTTCTTTTTTATTTTCTATACTTTTCAAAAAGAAAATGCAATTAGTTTGGTGAGGTATATGAAGGTGTGTGGGAATATTAACGGTGGAATTGTTGGGTTTGGGAAGATTGAGGTAGAAAAGTATAGAGAAAAAATTAAAATGTAGAAATAAGTGTTTGAGGTAGAAGAAGAAGATTGAAATGAAAATTAAATGGATAAATGAGAGTATTTTGATATTTTTATAAATTCTGTAATGTCCATCCAATGTTGCACTTTATTTGTAAGTTGAGGGAGTTTAATACAATACTTAAAATTACAAGAAAATCAAGTGCAAATGATTATAAAGACATTTTTTTTTTCCTCGCATTTAACATAAAATAAAATAAAATGTTGTAAGAATTATTACCCAAAGCCCAAATTTTTTTTTTTTCAGTCAGAACCCAAAGCCCAAATTGACTTGGGGCTTTGGCCGAGTTGGGCAAGACTTCACTAACCCAGTTCACTGATAAGCGGAGACCCTAGTCTACTCCATCGTCTACCTCAGTCCGGTGTTGCGCGGTGGAGCGGAACCAGTATTCGGTAGAAGCAACGGCGAACTTGGAGATGTTGTCCGGTTAGAAAGCCGGTAGCAGGTGACACGACGACGGACTTGGCGCGAACATGAAGGTGGTTGCGTTAGTCAGTGGCGGCAAGGATAGCTGCTATGCTATGATGAAATGTGTCCAATACGGTCACGAGGTCCTCCTCCTGCTCCTCTCTCTCTCTCTCTCTCTCTCTCTCCTGATGTGTATGTGTGTGTGTGTACGCTGCTATGGTTTTTAATACTCTATGGTTTTGGGGGTTTAGATTGTTGCGTTGGCGAATTTGTTGCCGGCTGATGATTCAATCGACGAACTCGATAGCTACATGTATCAAACTGTATGCTCTTCTCTCTCTCTTTCTATCTCTCTCTCTCTCTATATATATATTTATGTATATATTTGTATACCCACGTCACGTATACATATCATTTATATACACATGCAAAAAAACGCAGAGGCCATTGCTTATGAAATGATGAGGTGTTGGACTAAAAACCGTGAAGCTGAGAGATCAAATTTGAGGGCAGTCACTTTTGTGAAAATATTGTGATAGCTTAGGTTTGTACGCAGTTCATCCTTCCCAGTATCATCGAATGATGGCAAATTGGTTGATAAATGCAACTCTAAGTTAATTGATTTTGGGCATGGTTAATAAATATGTCAACATGTAATGATATGATAACACCACAGGTCGGTACTTCCATCTAGTAAGTTATATATAGATGTGAGTGCTTTCGTCAAGTTGATGATGTGCGGTGGTTCCTATTGATTTTGAGAACATGAACATTCATCCATGTTAAAGTGCACATTTTAAAAAAATTAATAATTTATGGCAGAAAAAAATATATGCATGCCATTGCCAGGAAATATGTGGGCGTTATCAACTTTTTGAGTTACAAAAACAATCTCTTCGCGTGCGGTGGTTAAGGCTAAGACCATCAGATCCCGCAATGGCCGAGCCTTATACACTGGACCTCCTTTTCTGTTCTGAAATATTTAGAGTTTTATATACTTGGTAAACGGATACCATGGTCTATGTAGGTAACATCTATTACAATTGAACTTGTATTTCCGAGAATTCTATTTCAGGATGGCTTAAGCTTGTTCGGATTTAAAGATGGGATTTTGAAATATTTATTAGTGGAAGACTCTCTCATAGGAAGTTTGCCGACATTCCATCCAGTAAACTGTGATAGTTGTCTAGAAAAAAGTGCTTTAGACATCTGAACTTTTTGATGCTGGTTTTCCAAGAATCTCAATGGAAACAATGAAAAATGTTGCCTTTTTTTATTTAAAATAGGTTTGGTTTTATTATGTTTCTTTCTTCCTTTTTTCGGTGAGTCAAGGAAATGTACATTTGCATAATCAATGAATGTACGGTCTCACTAAAATTTTACTTGTACACTCTATTGCTATGTGTTGGACTGAGAATGAAATAGGTTTGAGTAATTTCTCTCAAACAGGATTAGTATGTTTTAATTTTTTGTTTAGCAATGCTGCATGAGGCATAACCTTTATGCTGAATTTGTGTGCTTGTGCTCAAATAAGTGTTTAGTATAGTTACATATATAGTTGACAATCGGGATGCTTTAATGTGGATAAACAAGGACTTGTAATATGTTTTTTATTCTCTTTGTTCACTCGCTAGTTGGAAATTTAGATTTTGAGCATTTTCATAGGTTGGGCACCAGATGGTTGTTAGCTATGCAAAATGCATGGGAGTGCCGTTATTCCGAAGGCGAATCCAAGGATCCACAAGGCAAGCCAATTGTAAATGCCCACTGTTCTCTAATTATGCTATGCTAGTCATCTTGACTATTTTTACCATTCCATTAATAGGTTTGTATCGTGGCTGTGTAATTTACGAAGGGAAGAACAGTTGTTTTTTGGAATAAGAAACAAAATGGAATTTGGTTGTTACACTGTTACTCTTACAACCTATTTATTTCTGTTGAGGTTTACATGGCATGTGTGGTGAAAGTTGTGAACTTGTTACAGTATATAATCAAATATACTATGGTGCAATAAATCGGGCTGTGAAAAAGGAGATGTTTTGTTTGGGTGGTTTCCGTTATAACTGTGAAGGCATGACATACAAGGTTTTCAAGTAGATGCTAAAGAAAGGACATTATGGTTGGATGAAATTTTCAGTTTATTTGAACCAATTTTTTGGAGCTGCATTTTTAATAGCTTTATGCAGATTCAGGTTGTAGATCCCAAAATATGAAAAGAATTTGAGTTTGTGGAAAATTTGTATCTAACCGCTTCCGATTTTTGAAGTCCAAGTTTTTCGCACAAAAAAGGGCGACTCAGTGCACGAGGCTCCCGACACTACTAGGTCTAGGGAGGGTCATACCTGAGCTTCCACAAATTAATATTAAGAGGAAGTCGGTCATTTACATCATTGCAGATATACATTTAAGTATGTTTTCTCTTAATTTAGTGTTATAATTGATTGTATTCGACTATTTATAGCATGTTTTTCCTTTCTAATGGTTATGTTGGACTGCGTAGGCATCATAGCCTTAGCTACAGTGTGACTCCTGGTGATGAAGTAGAAGATATGTTCATTTTGTTAAATGAAGTAAAAAGACAGATACCCTCTATCACAGCTGTATCTTCTGGTGCAATTGCATCTGACTACCAACGGCTGCGGGTGGAAAGTGTGTGTTCGAGGTTAGGACTTGTTTCTTTGGCGTATTTATGGAAGCAAGATCAGTCATTGCTCCTACAAGAAATGGTAAATTCTGTTTTACTGTTATGGAGAATGACAAACCATTAAACAATCATGTAGCCTATGCTAAATGACTTTTCCCTTCACTGTTGTGACCAGATAAGAAGTGGGATTGTCGCCATCACAGTAAAGGTATAAGATATACTTCAATCTATTGTTATGTTGTCTCTGTCTCTCTCTCACTCACTTCTACACATGCACTTCTTTTATATTCGTGTTTCCTGGTTGTGTATACGGAGGTTGGATTTGAGTTCTCTTGTTTCGCTGATAGCATTTTGGTTGATATTCAATGACTTCTGTGGCCTGATTATTTACATTACGGAAATGCATTACCTTTTTCTCCTCTTCTATAATTCCATTGAGTGGTTAGTTGCTGCATTTCTTTGCATGTCTCATCTTTCTTTCAGAGTGCTATGCTTGAGATATCTATTTGATGTGCATCCGTCGTTATTTCATCTCACCTATGTACTTTTTGAGGAAAAAACTTGAGAATCACATCCCATATGCTATACCATTATACATATTAGAGCGCTAAATAACCTTAATTAAACAAATCTATAATATATTTATGAAAATTTATAAAGTTGGAACTATATACAAAATTGGATCCATTGATCCAATACCTAGCTTCATGGCTCCATTTTGTCAGTTCTATTTGTTTTTATTTGTTTTCTGACTTGTCCGTCTCTTCGAATTCAACGTGCAACTGGGTTGATAATGGGGGATAAGCTGGAAATTATAAGGGGAATAAATCCGCAACTTGACTAGAGTACAAATTATTGAATACCAAATACAAGAATGATGACATAAACGACAAATGTATCATCAATGATAAATCATGTAACTTGTGATAATGTCATTCTCACTTTGAACTTCCCAGATTTGAATATGTCAGTTTGGACCTATATCGGATTTGAGTTCCCTGACTTAGACCTATTGAGCATACTTATAGAAATTAAATTGGAATTTCAAAATGACAACAATTCCATTAATTGAAATAGGAATTGGGAATAATCAAGAAATTACTCTTTACAAAGAGATTTGGGAGCATATTGTGAATAACCCCACTTACCTAATCCAATATTGATACCGGTAGACATGCACTTAAAGACACTCCGAACAGAACACATGGATTTTCTCAATTATTTCCCCTTTCACCTTTTAATTTCTTTGTGAAATCTTTTCGTTTCCCTTTCTAGTTTTTTCTTAATTTCTCTATTCTTTTTATTTTCCCTCTTATTCGTTTCTCTTGAAATATATGTCTCTAATCACATTTCTTATATCATTTTCTTCTAAACTCAACAACTTACCTTTAACACACCACCCACATATGACTCACATGCATCTTTGGTGGACAAGTCCACCATTTTAGATCACAAAAGGCCTACCATTAGCTCTTTTTTTGAGGAATCCTTGGGATTCCTCCTCTTTGCCTCTGTGATTGTTCTGAGTTTCTATTAGATCTCTTTATCTAATGTGTATTGCAAAACAAAGAACACGATCAATCTAAGTAGTTGAATGATCTTTTGGATTTCGAGAGTCTAGAGTTTGTTTCTTGCCTCTCTAGATATTCTCTAAGGTATTATTAGGCTTTCCTTAGTGAGAAGGCTGCTATCACACACACACACACATATATGTATATATATTATGTCTCAAAAATGAAGTTTAATTGGAGTTTAAGAAAACTCAAATTCGCGATCGACTAGGGATGGTAGTGGACCAGAAAAAAATTGGTATTTGTTCAAATTTTTCCCGTTTGGACCGGGAATGAACCATACGTATTGGACGGTGGACATGTATGGGAATACCTGTATAAACTGTGCGGGGATGGATTGAAACTCATCCTTTCCCCGTCTTTGTTCTGGCCTTGCTAAACCCGTGATATATAATACTAGTAATTGCCCGTGCCTGAAGGCACTGTATAACAAACAAAAAATTGTAAATAATTACACATGCCTAAATGTATGTTATAATTTTTTAAAATCATCAATAAATATGGACCCACTGTTTAAAAAAAAAAAATAGGTCGTTGTCAATTCTAACTAACCCCGTTCTTAAATAGAATATTAATGACAACTTATATAATATAAGACTAATGTAGAAGCATTTTTTCAATATTATGAAACACGTCATAGAATTTAAAGAGAGACAGGGTACGTGGAAAAGTTTAATAAGAACATAAATACTTCATATATGAAAAATTAGATAAGTTGTGCATATAGGACATTTCAAGAAAAATACATTGAAGGCCACAAATTACATTGCTACACCACGTAGCGATTAGAAACTGAGCCTGAACCTAATAGGCAATCAAGTCTCAAGAACAATAAAAAAAATAAAACCCACATAAGGAAACAAATTCAAATCGAATATAAGAGACAACTACTCAAATTCAAATCAAACAAAAAAATGAAACTCACTTCAGCCAACTCTTCTGTGACATCTACTCAAATAGAACTACCAATGAATTTAATGATGGCGTTAGTGTGTAAATTAGAGACAACCTGCAAAATTAAAGCAAAGAATGAACACATCAAACAAATGGTGGTAGAACAAAACATGGGGGGGGGGAGTGGTGGTCGTACGCATTAAACGCAAGAAATTAAAAAATAAAAACACCAAGTGATCTCTTGTATCTCAATAATAATAATCTTGATTTAAGAATATATTACCTTCATATACGTTATATTTCAAAGGGAAGTCAAAAAACCATCAAAATCTTTAGCTTTAGTTCCATCATAAGGTACTCGATCTAAAAGTCCTAAACTCCACCATTTTCTATTGATGCGTATCCATGAGTTCAATGCAAGGATGTCTTTCTTCAATAAAAAAAGGTCTCTCTAATCAATTGACAAAGCTCACCAAACCTCAATCCACAAACCAATAAACCAAAGAAGGTTCAATGATAAGTTGAAAGTTTTCTCCATTGTTAAGTTGAAAGTGACAGGAATATAAGCTCAACGATTGGAAAACCAATTTGATTTTTTTTTCTTTTTGTGCATGCCCGAAGGCATTGTGAGATAAAAAAAAATTAACAACTAAAAAAATGAACATTAGCAAGAGAAAAAAGTGGTGCACATAACAATAAGAATAAATATCTAGAGCCAATGAATATGAATATATATATAAACATGAACAAAATTATCTCTAAAAACAAAAAAATATTTGAACATGTATACACAATTATATATTTTATCATTGTACCTTAAAAATCTATTAGGATTACTAATCCTTAACTTTTCGCGGAATCCTTCATCAATGGTTGTGAATGACTGATTTTTTCAATCTTTTAGTAACTTCATTGCACCATGATCCACTATTGAAACATTCAACCACTTGTTCTACACCATTATTATCCACAACATATTACATGTAGTTATGACTCCACGCGTGAATCTTAGATCAAAATAATTGGTGTAACAAACAAAATTTTAGTAGTTGATATAAACCAATTGTTATCTTTAAAAAAAATTCGACAAAGTGCCCTTTGAAAATATGTTTCAATTGACAATACCAACTTGTAAATACAACTTATAATCAAACGTTGTGCCTAAAGACACTATGCAACACAAAAAAATACCAAGTAGAAAAAATGAGAATTATTGTTGGTCAGCAAAATCTCCAATCAACCTGGACCTTTTAGATACAAAATCAATAATATCAAACTAATTACCGGACTCACTATCACACTGTAGTCCTCCATTTTTTTGGGGTCAATTGACATAACCATTTACCAACTACCACAACATTATAATAGTAAAAAACATAAAAACCTAGCAATGGTGTTGAATACTATTATGATGATACAGTGTCTTCAAGCACAGACTCAATCTACCAAGAACATAATAACTACAAATATTTGACTAAAAAGAACATAATAACAACTACTGAGAGCAATTTGACCAACACAACATACTACAAATATTTCAGAGTATTCATAATAGAATTGAATCTAGTATAGAGGATGTATTCTGATTTTTTAAGCCAATGCTCGTAAAACGAAGAGCTATTCAAAGAAAAGAAACTCATACTATGGGAAGAGCAAGGGAGCAGCATGGAGGAACGAAATAGAAAGTGCAAACATGGATAGTAGTGGTAGACAAAGGGCATTAACAAAAATTAAGTGCATTAGCATATGTATATTTTTCATTGGCCTCGATTCTTCAAATGCATCAGGTGTTCAAATTAGGAGAACTAATGCATTAGCATTTATAAAGCAACTAAACAAATGTGACAGAAGAAATTAACATCAATAGCAACCAAACAAAAGCAAAGCAAAGCAAAGCAATTTGGTTGATGCGGTGGAGAAAATCAACTCAACTAATGAAATTTAATAAAAACAGTTTGGTATGTTTTACTTTCACTTGTGACTTGGTAATATATAGACATGTTTGTGTCTGAAGGTACTTCAAAAAAAATGACAATTAAATTCATATCGACAAAACAATAACTTGTCAACCATTCAAAGCTAAACAAATATTCTAAAAGAGTGCAATTGATCATCCAAAACTGACGAAATTTACACCTACAACTATACCATGAAATCCTGCATTGACTAATTAATAACTTGCTCTATTTCTACTTTAAGCTCCGCTACACAACATTCCTCGAAGCTTGAAAACTTTCATACTCAGCTAAAAAAGGATTCAAGAGTCAAAATTAAAGTGTAAGTTTCTAAAATTTTAAGAAACTATAACATTAAAAAAATTACGAATGAAAACATCGTAATAGAAAGAAACAACATTGCCTTCAATTCTATTAATGTTTAATGCAAAGCAAAAGACCACACCATAATGAAACCATTAAATCGGTTTGCACATAAAAAATCAGCATTCAAAGGCTTGTTCCTGCATAATGTTTGTTACGAAACATCTCGGAATGATACACATTTTTTTTTATAAGAAACAACTTCTTGGAATGATACACATAAATATTGAGAAGGTAAATTGAACAAAGAAACACAGGGATTCTATAGCCATATTCATTTTCACTTGCTTCAAATAATATTCCACTACAATGTTCAATCAATTCCTTTTAGGCAGTTTCTCAAATAGGTGGAGGGAGGGGAGGTTGATTGTGATGTCGTGGTGTTTTGTGTGTGTGTGATTTGCTTGATGGAGAAACAGAGAAACAGAGAAAGAGAGAGATGAGAAAGGGAGGGGAGGTTCAAGATTACCAATCGCCGGTGGTTCGTTGGTGCTTTCTCTCAGATTGGCTCTGGTTAAATGAATGATCGATGGAAGCAGAGATCAATGGAGCAAATAATATGCTTGAAGGTCTAATTCTGGCAACTATTGGTTTGCTTCCAAGGCTTCAAATGATACCTAAAGTTGGAGAGGTATATTAATGATGTGTATACATATATAGTTGAGAGAGAGAGAGAACATAACTTACACGGAAATAGAAGAGCTGAAAAGAGAGATTGGAGAGCAAAATCGCCGCTTGAACACCGTGAAAAATCGAAGAGTAAGAATGAGTAAGAATAGGTGAAAGGACCAATCTCTGTAAATCTCTCTCTTTGCTTGCAATGCCTAGGTAAAGGCGTATGTTAGGAGCCGTATCTACCGGTAGAGAGAGAGGGTGAGGGATTTAATTTAAGCTGACAGAAGGGAGAGAGTATGAGAGAGAAATTTGGGTCGAAAAAAATTTCAGCAGTTTATATTAGCCATCGGATACACTGTACTGCATGTGTGTATTATGGGGTGTAGGCGTTGACAAAACAGAAGGGAGAGAGAGGGAGGGGCATCGAGGAAGGGTGAGAGACAGGTGCTGGTTGAGAGAGAAGCCGGGTGAATGATTGTATCGGTTAGGATGGGATAGAGAGATAGAATTAGATAAGAGATAGGAGTCTTAGAATTAGGGGATAAGGATTCAAAATTAATTTTTGAGCGGGATAAAAATTTCAGAAATAGATCTGATAATTAAAAAAAGAAATGTTGTTGGATGGGAAAACAAAATTCAATATTCACTGTAGACTGTCGAATCAGTATTTATGAAATGATCTGAATTGCATTTTATGTTGGGATTACATTGTCTGTTAGATGTGTTTAGATTTTGTCTCAAAACGATCTGAACCTCTCTTTATCTCCAAAATTCAAAGTCAACTCTACTTTATTATATAGATATATAATATCACAAAGACACAAATCCCACCAATCCTCCCATCCACTTATTAATACATATATATATATATAATATCACAAATCCCACCCATCCACTCACTCTTCTCTTTACCAAAAAAAAATACTCTCTCTTTATTTTTTTTTAATCCATTTGTTATATTATGGGGTTTCATCTTTCTTGCAGATCTATTAGTGAGGTTTTATGGTTTTATTTTTTAATTTTTTTTCCTTAAAATTATATAAATTAATTATTATGGACGGGGACGGGGGCAGAGACAGGGTTTAAAATTTATCTACTAGGCGGGACTAGGGATTAAGTTTTTCTCAACTAACGGGGGTGGATCGGAGGTGGACGAATATTTTTGAAGCGAAAACGGGGGTGGAGATTACTCTCCGGCCCCGGCCCCGATCTACTACCATCCCGACTACCGACTACTTGAGCCATTAGTCGAAGCTCTTCAATGGGAAATGATTATGTCTAGGCCTCAACAGTGGAGACTGCTTGAGCAATCTTGAGACTGCTTGGGTGGTTAGGCAACGATCTCTACTAATTGATTTCTTAGCTTTCTTTCTAAGTGTTTAGAGATCGCTCGATCCATAATGCCATTGAACATCCAACAGTCAGTATTGGTTTTTAACTTGAAAACCAAGCAAAAACTAGCCACACCAAGGGGTGTTGCTAAAAAAGATCCATATCATGACTCGTGTTTTCAAATCATTTTTTTAGTTTCAACAAACTTTTTAATTAAGTAAAAAGAGAATCATACTATGGGTTTCATTCAAAATCCCATTTTGATTCACCTAAGTTAACCAAACTTAGGCAACTAGGTTTCTAGTATAGTTGTTAGTATTGTACGATACATGATACGTATCGTACGATACATGATACGTATCATACGATACGTCACGATACAGGAGTAAAATGATACGGATCGTAGTTCTGTATCGTTTTTGCGTTGTATCATCCGATACACGATAAGTTTTTACGATACGATACGTGTTGGTACGATATGCACGATACGTGCAAAGACTGTTTATTTATTTTTTTAATTTTTTTTTTATGAAATGATTTTTTTTGTGCTAAGAGACTGATTTTTTTATCCCGTTTCAATGGCTAGGGTTTACAAAAAAAATAAAATCCCTCCCTACCTTCTTCGTTGGTTGGCTGGTCTTCGGCTCTGAGTGTTCGCTGCCATCGCTGGTCTTCGACTCTGGTCTAGGTGTTCTTTAGCCTTCGGTGACTCCTCCTAGTCCTGGGTGTTCGCTCGTCTTCGACTCTGGTGGTGTTCTTCAGCCTTCGGAGAGTGTTCGACTGTGTTCTTCAGTCGCGATCTTTCCCTCTCTCTCAATCTCTCGTCTATTTTTTTTTTCTTTTTTGATCAAGCATAGAGGCAGACAATCTCTGTTATATTATAGGGAAAATTATATTTAGACCCCTTAAGATTTGTTACTTAATCACTTAGATCCCTAACATTTAAAATATTATATACAGACCCCCTAACATTTGAAATATTAGACAAAGACCCCCTAAAATTTATACACACATAACATTTAGACTCCTATTGTAAATATATCCGTTAATAAATTACATTTAGACACCCTAAAATTTGTAAACATATATTTTATTATTGATTATTTAAAATTACACCATATTTTACGATACACGATAGGATACACTATTTTTAAAAAACGATACGCCTTCCGATACACGATTTGATAACCATGGTTTCTAGGTTATTACCTTTACCTAAGCTTGAAAGATCCAAAGAAGTCTTCAAATATGGCTTCATAGGTTGAACTTTATCATTCCTCTAGGCTAGTGTTTAAAGCATAGTTTCACCCGGAAGCTCATAGGTCTGGTCAAATCTTGTGTGAGGTCATGTCAAGTGATGGTCAATAACTCAAGTAGGAAATGTTGAGAAGCAGTTAACAATGCAAGAGCTATTTTCCCCTTATACACTCTAAAAAAAAGTTATGTCGGGTTTTTGAACCCTATGCATAACAAAGTAGCAGAATCAACAGGAACAATCAATACAGCAGAATTAGTCTAAACTACAAGTGCAGACAATCAGCATAACAAGTAAAAAACTAGTCATAACAAAGTTGAAAATTAGAAAACCAGCATAACAAAGTAGAAAATCAGTCTTAGTATAACTGCAAAAGTGCATAACAAAGTAGAAAACCTGTAAAAGCAGAACATAGTAGAAGCAAGGGGGAAGTTCCAGTAGAACCAGAAACAAAATAAGTATCACAACAGAATCAGTAGAAAAAAAAAAACAAAAACAGAGTAGAGGAGGAGGAGGTTCTAGCAGAATTAGCAACACTGCAATAGAGTTCCAGAAATCAGAAGAAGAAAAGGGGAAGAAGTAGAAGAGAAGAAGTATAAGATAATTAGAACCATAGTGCAAAAAAAAACAAAAACAGAAAATAGTAGAAGAGGTTCCAACAGAACTAGAAAATCAGAAGAAGAGGGAGGGGAAGAAGTAGAAGAAGAAGAGAATAAGAATCAGAGGACATACCTTCGGCATTTGTCTCAGTCTGATGCGGGGCCAGGTGCAGTTTGCTGCAATGGGCTTCCCTCTGGTGATCGTTTCTTCGCCTATTCTCTCTTTTCCCTTGCCTCGGCTACAGTCACTTCGCCTGCCATGTTCAAGGCGACATAGGATCGTCTCGCTTCATGTTTCGCCTAGGCGCAACTTTCACAACACTGCTCTAGGCTTCGGTCTTCATCTTATTATTATGACCATGAGTTTAATTGAGATATTTACATGTGACTGCACAGAATCTGTCAACTACACTCAATGCTCTAGCAGTTTTAGATGCATAATTTAAGGATTCAAGGATGGATAGGAATTTTAGAGTCAAGTATAGTGCATGTAGAAGGCAAATTATACCGACACTCTTTGACTTGGTACTTGAGAAATGGCACAGGTCTGTGAGGAGTCCACTCCAAGCTGATATTAGAAAATTTTCTTTTTCAAGTACTATGTTTCTTCGTACTTTTTTTTTTTTTTTAATTTTCCTAACTTAGTCAACCAAGGGTAAAATTTTATTTTCCTTAAAGCCTTCTCTAAAAAACTCTGATAATGGGTCTTAATGCATTCTCAATTGTCAAGGGATCTTCTTGGTGTTTACCAAAACTCAGGAAGTGTCAATGAAATTTACCCCGTAATTTATACTTCTTTTAATATTGGTACTTTATTTCTTCAAAAAAGAAGGGTAGGTGGGATTTTGTGCTGTCAAGCAAAATATAATCCATAAAAATGCATTTAAAACCTGACCTTTTTAATAAAGAGAAATGCTAAGTTGTTTTAAGCTATTAGTAGTGTATAGGGGCTCCTGTTATCATACTTCGCGTTTTGGACAAGTTCCTGGGATATAAATGGTTAAAGGATTCTCTTTCTGTGATAAAAAATTAGCTTGAGAGGAGTGATCTTGAGGCAATGGGCAGATAGGGTATCAATGGTTTGGTTTCTGTTTGGTTCCATATATATAAAGGCATATTATATTTCCATGTGCAGCATACTAAGATCTACATTGGGTGGACCATATTTCACTTATTCTTTGATTCATTACATAATTGCTGATAGACCTTTGATAATTTCATGCCTTTTCTCTTCCTTCTCTTTATATGATTGAGATAATTACCATGACATATTTGTAGGAGTAATGAAGAACTCTTTTGGATTTTCATGCTGTCACCGAAATAAAGTTTCATTGATAGCTACTGTTTTGTGATATCTGTTTTTAGTTGTGGATTATAAGGTGAGGCCATGCTCTTTGATTGTCATAGGTTGCAGCCATTGGATTGGACCCTTCAAAGCACTTAGGCAAAGAAGTAGCGTACTTGGAGTCCCATCTACACAAGTTGCAAGAGTATGTGAGACTTATGAAAGTGAATTAAGCTTGATCATATTTTGGTTTTTAAGCAGTTGATAATCTGTCATCAAATCATTTGGCAGATTGTATGGAATAAATGTATGTGGTGAAGGAGGAGAATATGAGACATTGACGCTTGACTGCCCCCTCTTTAAAGTAAGTATGCCCTCTGCTTTTTTTTTATTTTTAATTTTTTGTCAAAAAAAATGAGTTTTCTCCAGCAATCCAGTGTTTTTTATTTTCTTTGCTTTTTTGCTTCCATAATTTTTTATAATTACGTGTTACCATGAGACAACTGCAGCCTTCAGTTATTCTAGTTTTAGATAAGTTAACAGTTTTACTTTGCATTTGTGGTGTTTAACAAATTCATGATTCTGTTATTATTATTATTATTTTTTTTTTTTTGGGGGGGGGGGCTTTCTTAGACCCATTTCAACCATATTTAACTTGCAGAAATTTTCCAGAATGCTCGAATTGTGCTAGATGAATCTCAAGTTGTACTTCACTCTTCAGATTCCATAGCTCCTGTTGGGATCCTCCATCCCTTGGCATTCCATTTGGTAAATAAGCGGGAGAATGCATCTTTGATTGACAGTAACAGAAGCAGTGATGTCTGTCTGGGAGAAATGGATTCAGTATGCGAAGTGCAAGGGAACTGTTTACAAAGATGCAAAGCAAAGTGCCAGTCTGGTGATGTAACCTTTAGTTTAACTGAAGTTGAAGAACATAAACTTCACATTTCAAAAACCAAAAATGATGATACTTTTTCCATTTCTTGCTGGTTGCAAGATTCATGTCAAGCTTCAGCAGGTAAAAGTAAAATGTCCTAATGGAAGGATATGATTTGGTGTTTTTTCATAATGCAAACTCCGTTTATTTTGGGTTGATATATATTTTTTTTGTCTTTCCTCCCTTCTTGGTTTCAGCTACATATATGCTTTTTGTGTGTTTTATTGGCAGATTTGCAACAGGATCTGAAGGTTATTCTTAGGAAAATTGAAGTACAACTCCTGAAATATGGTTACTCTTGGGAGAATGTACTTTATATTCATCTCTACATTGCTGATATGAATCAGTTCGCAACAGTGAATGAATCCTATGTGAAATTTATTACTCAGGAGGAATGTCACTCTGGTGTTCCATCCCGCGCTACAGTTGAACTTCCTCTTTTGCAAGTTGGTTTAGGGAGGGCATATATTGAAGTCTTGGTGGCAACTGATAACAGCAAAAAGGTATTGCATGTACAAAGTATCTCCTGCTGGGCTCCTAGTTGCATTGGTCCATATAGCCAGGTAACAAAGTTTCCAGTTTTAACCTATTCATTATATTTACTGATTAGTAATCTTTTCTCCTCAAAGGAAATGATATTGAGCCCATTATTTTGTCAGCTAGTTTTTCGTCTTCCAGTTCTGTTATGTTTTTAATAATTTCTGTTTGGCATCTTTGTGTGAATTGAATGTCTATGCAGGAATGGTATCTGTAGGCATCCTCTCTTAATCTGTGAGGTAGTATTAAATTTGAAAATACTTGTGAATGGTCCCAATATGTGTTTGTTAGGATGCTAAAAGAAGTCCCGTACTTGAGTTTTCAATTACCTTGAGCATCAACATTGAGTACATGTCACTAATTATTCTTTTCTTTTGAAGCCTAAATCCAGTTAGAAATGCATGGGGTTTATACATCAATAGACTTGGTAACAAATCTTCATAGTTCATACTCTGCATGTGGTCAGGTGACTGAAAGGATAGTCAGGTCTTTGATGCCAAGGGTTGCCTTTTCAGACACAGGTTTAGAGCCCAAGGAAAAGCTTTTTCATGAGTCAGTATGAATGGCTTTATCTTTCTTCTTCTTGAATTTAATGCATCGATTGACCTCCATGAAACCTCATTGCAACCTTAAGAATCACTATTTGATCCGAGCCATTCTGTTGTAGAATGCAATATATATTTTGGTTTTTAGTACATGAGGTATGGTGGGTGGAACGAGAGAGATGTATGAAATGAAACTGATGGTGATCAAGAAGGAATTGGTTGAAGGCTGAAGCCTGAATTGGTGATTAGGGTTTTAGGAATTTATTTTAGCATCCAGGATTTATTGGGCTTATATAGTAATTTAGGATTCATATATTATTCCTATATTTTATTTTTGGTAAACTAATAGATAAGCCTTATATGTTATTGGTTTGGAGACTAGACTTTGACATCAAGACTTGAATACAGAATTTTTTTTTTTTTCTGTCTTCCTGAATTTCACTCCAAGTATTGTTGAATTTCACGCCCTTCTTTTGGGGAATTCTTTTTTTCTTATCTTTGTCTTGCGTTCGGGGGATATTGCAGGGAAGTGCACTCCTCAGGTATGGAAGTGCTTCTCCATCCGAACTTGCATTGTCATAAACTAAGAAACACGTATACGGACATGAGACATGGATATAACATGGACACACACAAACACGAAAACTCTAAAAGAAAGTACTGCTCAGATATGATGAGGTGATGAATGTAACAAAAGCTCTCAAAGTGTGAGAAAGGATCTTGTGGATTGATGTTTTCCATATCTTTACCCAAATGCTCGCCTGTTTCTAAATTGAATGGGGCTGCTTTGGAAACATTCCCTACAAACTCCCTTGTATCTTTTTGCATAGATTTGTCAAAGCTTCCCTCCGCAACGTTACCTTCATCATCTTTTTCCTTTTGTGGATTGTAAACTTTCCATACTCCCTGTTGTTGCACTCTTCAGCGTGATTGGAACATATTTGATTGCTTCCTTGTTTGATTGCCAACTTCTGGGATTTGAATACTTTCCTTCCTTGGAATATAAATATTCTTTCCTTTCCTCTGCTCAGCAGTTTCCTTTTGTGCACCTGCAAAATCGTTCCCAGTATCCTGTTGTGAAATCTTTCCTTCTGTAGCTTTCGTCTGCATCAATGGCTTCTTCTTCCCGCATTCAGCTTCTTCATGTCCTTGCTTTCTACAACCTTTGCAGAATTTTTTATTCTTTTTATATACGATCTTTTGCCAGAGCATCTTCGTCTCCCATGTCCAGCCAAATCATAAAGGGGTTATTTGCTAGTAAATTGACCTCGACACACACTCTAGCAACTCCATGTCTAGATAAAGAGAGTGTAGCTTGGTTGAATGCCAAAACTCGTCCAATAGGCTTTACTAACAACTCCAAGAAAGGCTTTTTAAAGAAGTTCAATGACAATCTGGGTAAAGAGATCCACATAGGAACTCTAGGTCTCCCATGTCCAGCCAAATCATAGAGGGGTTATTTGCTAGTAAATTGACCTCGACACACACTCTAGCAACTCCAGGTTTAGATAAAGAGAGTGTAGCTTGGTTGAATGCCAAAACTCGTCCAATAGGCTTTACTAACAACTCCAAGAAAGGCTTTTTAAAGAAGTTCAATGGCAATCTGGGTAAAGAGATTCACATAGGAACAATGGAAGGCTCTATGCCAGGTACAAACGCGGGGAACCATTTGAAAATTTTGAACAGGTAGTCTTCAATAGTGGTAGCATCATTCAACCAAATCTTTACATAGTCTTCATGCTTCTCAAACCTTATCAATATGTGTCTGGGATCCATTGAACCTATCTTAAAATCTCCTTTCAAATCCCATTTAGAACGTATTACTTCTCTTATCACTCCCAAACTTGGATGACTACTGGTACACTTGCCTATTAACGCATACTGAAGGGATAGACAGGATTGCTTAACTTCCTCATTGGTGAAGTAGAAGGCCGGCTCCCCCTCATAAAACACGATTGGTTTTTCAAGCTTAATCGCACGTTTTTCCTTTGAAAAGGTTTTGGCAGGCTGTTTAAAGAGTGAAGCATAGGATGGAATGGATTGTGGGTGATTTGTAGGCTGTAAATCCAAAGGTTTTGGATGTATTAGGGATGAACTGGGCGAAGAACCCAAGAAAGGAAAAAATCCTAGAGAGAAGTCAGAGCTTCTCTTTCTAAAACTTAAGTATATGGTCCCTTTATAAATATCCTTATTTTGTGTGTTTTACGTTTTTATAATGCTCATGAATATAAATCTGGTCCCTTTTCAACTTATCTTAGTAAAATTGACATTATTCATTAGACTTTTTGTGCTTACACCTCTTAGCAGAATGGTATCGTTGAGCGCAACGTTGGAAGTTACTCGTGCATTGTTATTGTAGATGAATGTTTCTCATTATTTTTGGAGTGATGATGTTGTCACCACGTGTCACCTTATTAATCGTATGTCATCTTCTGTTTTAAATGAGCAAAATTCATATTCTGTCATTTTTCCTAGTCAGTCCTTATTTTTCTTTACCCCTAAGGTTTTTGGGTGTGTCAATTATGTTCACAACTTGGGCCCTAAGTTTGATAAACTTGACCCTCGTGTTATCAAATGTGTATTTCTTGGATATTCTCGCACACAAAAAGGGTATTGTTGCTATAGTCCTCTCCTTCGACGGTACTTCACCAGTGCTGATATCACTTTTGATAAATTTGTTTCGTATTTTTTGGCACCTATTCAATCTTTGGATCTTGATTTTGGGTCGTCCTCTATACCACCGCCTCTTTTCTTTATTGTTGAATATTTCACTGACTATTGTGCTACCATCTACTCTTTTGCTCCATGCATACTCTTGTCGTCCTCGATTATCGACTGAGGTGTTCGTACCGTCTGCCTTGCCGTCTCATGATCTTGGTCCCTCAGGTAATTTTGACTCTTTACCTATTATTCTTCGAAAAGGTACTCGATCATGTGTTATTGATCATCCTATTGCTATTTTGTTTCTTATGATGCGTTGTCTCCTATCTTTCCTTTTTTACCTCTTAATTGTCTACTGTCTCTATTCCTAAGAACTGACAGGGTGTGTTGTCTAATTTGGGTTGGAGGAAAGTTATGAAAGTGGAGATGGATATCTTACATCATAATGACACTTAAGATCTTGTTCCTTTACCTCTTGATAAACAAACTATTGGTTGTTGGTTGTACACTGTTAAATTAAATTCAGATTGTTCTGTAGAGCATCTCAAAGCCTGTCTTATTGCTAAAGGCTTTACTCAAAATCTATGGTGTTGATTATGAGAAGACCTTTTCTCCTATTGCCAAAATCTTCTCTGTTTGTGTATTGATTTCTTTAGCTGCTAATCTTGACTGACCCTTGTTTTAATTATATGTCAAGAATGCCTTCTCACATGGTGACTTGATTGAAAAGGTCTACATGAAGTAGCCACTAAGGTTTACTGCTCAGGGGGAGTCCTATAAGATTGTGTGTTTGTTAAAGAAATCTCTGAATGGTTTAAAGTAGTTACCGAGGGCATGCTTTGATAAGTTCTTAGATGCAGTTTCAGAGTTTGGTCTTCTTCGATGTCAAACAGACTACTTTGTGTTTGATAAATAAACGAATGTCAGATATATTCTATTGGTTTATGTAGATGGTATTGTGATTATTGAAAATGACTCTGAGGGGATTGTTAAGTTAAAAACCTTCCTGTAGGACTGATTTCACACTAAGGATTTAGAAAAATTCAGGTACTTCTTAGGTATTGAGGTTGGTAGATCTAAACAAGGTGTTTGTTTATCCTAGATGAAATATGTACTTGACTTGCTAGAAGAAACAAGTTTGCTGGGTGGCAGACCAATTGATATTTTTATGGATTCGAATCAAAAATTGTTGATGGATGATAGTGCACTACTTGAGAATTTGGGTCAGTATCGTAGGTTGGTTGGAAAGTTCAATTATCTCACTATTATCCGATCAAATATTTTTGATGCAGTTAGTGTAATAAGTTCATTGGATGCCCTAGAGTACCACATTGGGAGGCAGTCATTTATTTTCTTCGATACCTCAAATGTGATCCTGGTCTTGGGTTCTTATATCTAGCTAATGGACATCCTAGAGCGAAAGATTTTTTAGATTCTAATTGAGCTGACTCTACTTTTGATCGGAGATCAACCACTAGTTATTGTACTTTCTTGAGAGGTAACATTGTCTCATGGAAGAGTAAGAAACAAACGGTGGTAGTAAGATCCAGTGCCGAGACTGAGTATAGAGCAATGAAACATACAACTAGTGAGGTGATGAGGCTGTTACTCTTTCTCAAGGAAATTGGCTTTTCAATTCAATCTCTTTTATTGTTGGTCTGTGATAATCAGGTAGCTATTCATATCGCTGTCAATCTAGTATTTCACGAGAGATCCAAATATATTGAAGTTGATTGTCATTTTATTTGAGACACGATAGTAGCTGGAGATATTACAACTCCATTTGTGAAATTTAAGGGTCAACTTGCAGATATGTTTACCAAAGTATTGAGTTATACATGTCTTATAACCATTTGTTCTAAGTTTGGATTATATGATAAATATAGTCCATCTTGAGGGGGAGTGTTAAGAGTGTTATATATAAATACTAGTTGTAATAAGTATATCACATAGAGGGTATACCCGTTTTTTGTATGATTATGGGTTGACTATAAATACAAGTGGATTGTGAGAGGTAGGTTAAGTTCAACCACTCTCCGTTTCTCTCTAATAATGTATTTACGCTCTAAACTTAACAGATTCCCAATATAAACAGTTGACTTGTTAACTGATACCTAAATCTCTGATTAATAATCAATAGCAGAAACAAAGTAGATTGAGTCATAATATTGTAAGGTGCTAATTTTTAATTTTTTTCTTGTCATATTTGCCAAAAAATTGCAATTATATAACTTCATGTGGATGAAGAAAACCTTGTATGATTCTTTTTTAATATTTTTTTGACTTTTTAGCTTTACATCTCTCCTTTATTTTAAAATTTTATAAAATTATTCGCTTAATGTTGTCGAGTGATATCTTTCTACAAAAACAAAAAGGCAGCTCAATGCACGAGATTTCCACCACTGTGGGGGTTGTGGGGGGGGGGGGGGGGGGGGGGGAAGATATATACAGCCTTGCCCCCATTTGTAAAGAGATTGTTTCATCTCAAACTTTTGACACTGTGACCATAATGGAGCAACCTTGTCATTGCCCCAATGCCCGCCCTCAATCTACAAGCCAAACAATATTCATAAAATTGTATATAACCATTGAACGTACATAGTTATTCAACAATCATTCTTCTTGGAGTGGCATCCAAACAAACCCTAAGATCTAGCATCCATTAGACAACGAAATTATGCAATGCACTATAAGAGATTCTTAAATATTGCCAGGAGGTGATACAGAAAGATCAAGAACAAAAACTCAGATTTGGTAGTCTGTCACCTCTTAAAGAGGTGAGAAAAGCAAGGAAATTAAGATCCAAAGGGTCACACAAGTCTTCCAAAATAATATTGTTTCCCATTTCCAATAATATATGCAAGAGAACTTCCGTAAGTATGAAAAATGTTCTTTTGTGGTTGTTAATAATAATAAGTTTTTTATCGCTACTTTGAATGGGGAATCATTTGGACACATCTGATATTAACTTTAAAAGGTAATGGCCAATGATTTCTCTCCAAGAAGTCTCCTTATTAGATTCTTCAACCAATGCCTAGTGACTACATTATGTGTTACTTAAGCCAAGACCAGCAATTTATTCCAAATGACAACTATTGTTGGTCCATCATGTGTTATATAATATAAGCCACGGCCATCACGTTGTTCCAAATGGCAACTATTGTGTCCTTTCTCCCATGAAAGAAGAGCGGCAGATCTTATAAATTTGCTTCTACCAAGTAAGGTTTTGGATCCAAAACCCATGACCTTGTAACTACCACCAAATGAAAACCTAAACCGTGTCAACAACATATATTACAACCTAAAAAACATTAGGCAAACCAATGGAACTCGGGGGCTGATTATTTTCTAGGCCATAGATTTTTGTTAAGATAGCTTCAAAAGAGGCTGAAGGCACACAATTTATCTTCATCATCAAACATGGAAGATGTAATTAGAAATCTACAGTCATAGTGTTAAGACTCTACCTCTACAAGGCATATTTGATCATGTCATGAGATGTGTTCTGGAATCAAGTAGATGATGCTTACATCTACATAGGCTTTTGAAGCCTGCAGAGCAAGCTGTGGATCCCATGGCAAGCTAGAAGTCTACTTGGTCTAAAGGAAAGTATGATTTAGTTTAACTTAGTATTTTTCTAGTCAGATTTATTCTTGTTTTGTTAAATTTTTTGCGTTGAGGGTATTTTGGTCATTTTAATATTGGCTGGACATGAGGAGTAATCATAGTTCCATGGATCATCAATTGGGTCAAGCAACATTACTTGAATTATATTTGGAGTCTTATTTGGTCTGGAATTATGACACCCCACCCTACTTTTCCATCATACTCAAGTATCTGCGTCTTTTTTTTATTTTTGCAACGTAGTTTGTCAATCGTTTAGGAGAGGGGTCTCTCCCTCCTGGTTACCGCTTTATTTTTATATCTCGTTTGCATCACTCAATCACACCATCGAACTTGTGGAGTGGATTAGAGCATGCCCATAAACTGATGCAAAGTCATAAATTTGTGCCCGTACTTAACAACCACCTCCACTATGTTTTATTCGACAATCTTCTATAGCTTATCTCCAGGAACCTAATAATTTTACCAATGTTTCTGATAGAATTAGGAATTAGGAGAAGCAGAATATGTGAGAGGATGTAATATAGAAATTAGGGAGAATTATATTCAGCTTCCTTGAGATTTGTCACTTAATCACTCAGACCCCCTGACATTTGAAATATTATCCACAAATCCGTTAAGGTTTGTACGTACGTAACACTTAGGCCCTTGCCTTCATGTCCGTTAGTATATCCATTAGTAAATTACATTCAGACCTCCTGAAGTTTATAGGCATGTAATACTTAGATCTCTCAAGTTTAAAGTGTTATATTTAGACAAAATATACACCAAATAAATATAGAATATCAAATATTTTAAATTTTACAACCAAAATTCATGTTCTATTATGATATTTATTAAAATAAAATTAAAAATAAAAATCTAATTTTTTCTTAAAAAATCATAATTTGTATACAATTATACTATTTTCAGTCACCTATGTCCAAGTCTTGCTATTACTAGAGTGACGACAGAACCTCCTACTCTACTACCGTAATCATTTGTAATATATGCTCTACATATGTTCGCTATTGTTACTGTGCATGTAAAATCTGTGTAATAACTCTTTATAGTGTAAATGGCTTTGCAGTGAAACTAACAGTTTACAATGTGCTTCCTTTCAGGCAACCTTGCACAAGGAGATTCTGCATATGGCTGGGCAGTTGGGTCTAGACCCTCCAACAATGTTGCTTTGCACTGGGGGCCATGTATCTGAGCTTAAACAAGCACTAGAGAACAGTGAAGCAGTGGCAAAATGCTTTAACTGTTCAATATCTACATCTGCCATTCTATTTGTCATTTACTGTTCATCATCTGTAAATAAATCAAACAGAACCACTATTCAGAACAAGTTGGATGGATTCCTCGAGCAAATGAAGCTACACCATTTCGATAGTGGAAACCTGTCTGAAGTTCTTGATCCCATATTTCTGTATGTCCTTGTGCCTGATCTGCCGAAAAGGTAATCATTTATACCTTGCCCCTGTTCCTGTGGGAATAAAACCTTTTGGCCAATGCAGGAAGCCTTTCTGAACCTTTTTAATTGTTAATAAAAGAAAGGTGAATCTAAATAAGCCGTCAAAATTGTAAAGCATTAGAATCTACTTCTCTGAGTAATGCGGTTGTGTTTTGAGCTCAAGGGAATCGTAGGATGCATAGCATTTGCTCTTAGCAGTAGTACATGAAAGAACAGAACGGACCTAGTGGACCTTATCACTTCCTGTCTATTTTATACTGATTTTTTTATGCATTACTTGTGGTGTGGTAGAGCTTCTGTAGAAGTAAAGCCGATCCTTTATGTTGCGGAGAATGTGGGGACTGAGAGTGATCACATTCTGCCAGAGCTAGCTTCGAAAACGGCACAAAGTTATTGGGGTTTTCAGCATGAAGACTGGCATGATATTTGCCTTCAGGAATGTGTTGTTAATGGAAAAATATGTGCGGTCATCCTATCGGTTACAGATCAACTGGCTGCGAAGGTCTGTTCTAAATCTGCAGGCATTAATCAGGATGACATGGACCATAAAACTTTAATCACAGGGGAGCAAATGGAAAGAATAGCACGATTTTGCATATATCGTCTTGATTATTTCCTTTTGGAAAACTCTCTTTCTTGGGACGATGTAACGGTGAGTTTCTTTTTCATTGAAAAACTTCATTCTTGTCTTAAGTTAATGTTTCATGGAGTTCTTTTGTATCTGATACTTGTTCTTGTACCTTCATGTTTTGCAACGTAAATATAAAATTTTCTTACTTTAAGTCTTTTTATCTGTCACCTTTTTTCAAACATCTCAAAGTCGCAAGCAGTTCAAAGCAATTTGAAGGTAATTGTTTGTTTTGTATCTAATTAATGAAAAAACAAAATGAACAGCTTCTGATGAATTTCTGATGTAATATAGAGAATGTTTCAGTGGACTAAGTCCTTGCATGTGCTAATACATTTGGATGTATGTGTTTGACTGAAAAAAGGAGAAAAGTATAAAGGATCATGTTAGACGAGTGACAGAATAGGAGCCTTATGTTCTGTATTAAGCTGAAAGTGACAACAGTTGAAGATAAAATTAGGGAAAATAGTTGTAATCGGGTTGGCCATGTGCAATGAAGGATTGAACCCTTGAGGAAGCTCAAGAGTGTTTTTAGATTCAACATGAATATAGCTTTTTAAAGAGCCAATCGGAGATGAAATTATTTCTGACCCCAAGTAATTGGAATAAAACTTATTGCGTTAAGTTGAATATTTGGCCATAGGATGCATTTATGCTATCCATGTTAGGTTATGGCATGCTGGACCTTTGGCTAAACATGTGATTATATCATTGTAAGTATACGTGGTGCACAAGTAAATGCTTGTATTTTACAGAGCATGTACTCTTTGGGCTAGAAAATAGAAAGGTGGAAGATTTGATCATATTTAAATATGAACATGGGTACTGCAGTTTCTTGGGATAGAAGATAATGGGCTTGTTTGGAGCTGATTTTTTTTGGTGAAAAGTTGAAATTTGAAAAATTTTACAAAAAAGTCAAGAGTTAAAAAAATCCCCCAAAACCAGTTGGGGTGTTCTTTGAAAAGCTGAAAAAGTTGAAAAAATTCGTTTGGAGTGACTTTCTAGCTTTTTTGTGTCAAAAATAAAAAATAATATATATGTATAGTATAGATTATGCATAATAGTTTCCAATATATGAATTTCAAAAAATTTTACGTCACTAATAATATTTTATGAATATTATAAACTAAAAAATTATGTGGAATCCTTAACAAAACTCCAAAAAGTTAGAAGAAAAGCTCATAAAATTAGCTTCTTAAATCAGCTTAAATAAGTTTTTTTGGATCCAAAACACTGCTGTATAAGCTGATAAAAAAGCCAAGGTCCAAACGGACCTGGTTTATTTTACTCAAAAATCCTTAAAAGCTACTTATTTAAGCTTGCTTCAAACAGACTCAATGTTTCATTAGTTATAGTGCCTTAATCCATGCCTTAAGCGATGGGAACTTTAGTTTCTAATTGATATTTGCTTCAAAATTTGGATCCTTTTTCCTACATAGAATTTTACGAGGCATGCGGCCCTTCCATAATATAACCATAATCTGTTGTAAATAGAGAACATATTATCTTATCTACAGAATTGCTTGAGGTTCCTACTCCTCACTGGTATTGTGGAGTGCATTTAGTTCTTCAAAGGTTGCTTCTAAGAATCTCACCTTTCTTGTGGGACAGAGTTCCGAACATTTTGTTGCAAATGAGCTTTTCATTTTTGCTACTTCTGTCTTTTAGTTCACACATTCAAATTAACTGGATGACATATTATTTATTCATTGCTTTTCTGGCCCATATGAAATATAGCGCTTCCTCGCCAACTCTTTTGAACTAAGAAACCTTCATACTCTCACCATTGGGCTCACCGTTTGTTTTTTCTTTACTTCAAAGGCAAGATGAGAAAGTGACAAGAAATGAGTAGTAGAGAAGGTTTCAGACATAGGGAAGAAAAAAAATGGTTTGAACGAACTAGAAAATACGTATAGAGAAGGCTTGAAAAATTCCTGTTGTTTACTTAAAAGCATAGGGTCTCGATCATGCTTCGTTTCCCTTGAGTTGATATGTTGTACTTCCCAGTAGAACTCTCCTCCTCAATATTCTAAATCACCTGACTTTCATGGTGACAGTTTTTGTGGACCTAAAGTGAGAAACCTTCCTTTTCCCAAGTTCTTCACTTTTTTTCTTTTAAAGAATATTCTCTTTGCATAATACTGTTGTAGACTCTGGACATATAAGAGCACGGTTTATTCCTTACACAACTGAAGCCTGTTCAATTTCATCCCCCATTGTTTGCTTCTACGATTCTAACTACTTGCACTTGGAAACAACAGAACTGCAGAGAGAGACGGAGAGAGGTCTAAAAGAATTCACTTAGTTCTTTTTCTATGTTAATGAATAGATTATTAGTTCTTAATGACCTTGACATTCATTTATCTTTAAATTCTTGCACCGTCAGAGAAATCATTTTTGTTGAATTAAAGAGTAAAGCTCTTAGGAAATCTAGTAATCCTACTGAGTTAGTTGTGCAGGTTACAATTTCTGGTTTTGAATTATGAACATGGGGAATGTTATTATTAATTGACCTAATATAATTAACCTTGAGAAACTGTGGTCTCAGCTACTTTGGGGCCCTTGTATGTATACTTTGAAGCCGCATGTTATCATTTTTTGAGGCTGTTATGTGCTTACTCGCATCAGAGCCTTAGTCTACGCTCTTTTTGGTCTTGTCCTTTTCATATCTTCAACTTGATTAATGGCGAAATCATTTTGCACAACCTTTCATTATCTTATATTTTATTGATGCCACCTTTAACTGCCTACATTTGTAATTATATTTTTGTTTTGCATTTTCTTGTGCAATCCATCTATCTAAACAGCTTCATTTTAGTCACACTCATTATCTTTGCAAATTGTTCTTATCTGCCTTACAATTGTTATTATATGCTAATCCTCTTAGCTGCTCTGACTTATGGTGGCATAACATTCTTTATTATACTAATTAATGCACACGTGCGTTGCACGTGAACTAATTTGAACTGCAATTTTGTTTTTTGTTTTTCAGTTTTATTTCTTCCTAATAGGCTTCCATTACCTTAAAGGCAGTAAAATTCAGAGATGAAAACATTCATTATTCATTTTATGTTCAACTGAAACTCCTACCATTGGTTTGATGGATATCCCACTTTTTTATTGTAAGATATAAGTACAGGACTGAGAATTCCTGGACCTAACGTGTAGTGAATCCCTACACTCTCACTCAACGAATTTCAATCCGACCGAAGTCATTTGTAATTTCTATTTTTTTTCCCAAAGTTTATATATCAAATATTAATGCTTGATCTCAATATTATATTATATAGATCCTTTGTTGGACCTTTTTAACTCAAAGTGAATTAATTATCATTGGTTTATGAGTCGATTTAACCCTTTCGCTTATAAAGAAAATGATATTTAGAACCTAATTTTGGGACCTAAGTAGGCTCTATCTAACATTGAAACTTACAACTAATCCGATGACTGAATTGACTTAGGTGCCCAAATTAGATCCCTATGGCATTATTCATAAAAGAAACCTACTTTGGAACCTTCACCAATTCTCCTAGTCCTTCCCTGTTTACAAAGGACAGCACATCAATTGTAAGGGAAAAAGTGTTAAAAAAAAAAAAAAAAAGCACACAAGTTAAAAAATGCAAAGATGATAACAGTTAGCCTACTTCTCTTGTAAAGTATGAGACTTAGAAACAGCATGAATGCCAAGTTTTATCCTAGAAATTTCAGAAAATATTAAATACATTGAGTGACAATGTTTATACAAGAACTTTATATCTTCAATCGAAACACAAAAGGTTGGTAAAGCAGACGAAAGGGAGCTAAGAAGTTACAACGTGATTTATAAATCATTATTCATTATTGCTTTTAATGAATAGTGATATTTTTAACTATTTGTAATAGCCATAAATTTGCAAAAAAAAAAATCAGAAATTATATGGAAATCCACACCCTCATAAGCAATTAGGGAGAAATCAATAATGATTTAATGTTCCTATATGCTAAAAACAAAGGTTATTACTTTGACAATACCATGCATAGGTGAATTTCTTCGGAGGCCAGAATCTCTCATAATAAGTAGCCTTTGCCAGCATGGATAGAATTACAAATCTTCACTGCATACATCATTGATGACCCCCCAAAAATTTGGCCTTACACTGTGGAGCTCGGAATGCCTAGTGTCACAAAAAGATGATCTTTCCTTATTCACTACTTGTATGCAGAAAAAAAAAATATATATATATATATATTTATCACCCTCCAGTCTATATGAATCTGTGACAATGCCACATGCATACCAGTTTCAACAGTGTAATTGCAACGAGCATTCTCAACTTTGACAAGAAAGGTTATAATCTGGTTAATGCACCAAGGCTGTGCCTGGACGTTGGGAAAACTATATGCAGAACATAACCGCAAACCACCCATGCATACGATAGATTGAATGAATACTACACTATAAATATAAACAAAGAATATGATTCAAGGGAAACAAACTTTTTCATTATAAAAACAAAACTTCAAGACAGAGAACCCTGACACACGAAGAGAACTGGTGAATCTGTAAAGTTATTTAAAGAAAGCGTCATAAATATCTAGAAAATGGAAGGTTGTAGTAATTGTTACAGTGAATGTAGATGAAAATACATGGAATCTAGAAGGTCTAGAGCTTAAATAAGTATTATCTTGAAGGCATTATTCAGCTTAAATAATTATACTAGTTACAGAATCAAGGATAAAATTGATTTCAAAGCATAAATCAAGGGCAAAATAGGAAAACAAAAGTTTTTCATTGTAAGAGATTTTTATAAGTAGTATAGATAGATAGATAGATATAAATATAGATATAGATATAGATATAGATATAGATGACATTGAGCTGCAATTTTTTGTGGTTATTGATGTCATTGGAAATGAATGTCTTATTTATTTGTGGACAAGTATCTTGGCTATTTCTCTTTGATGACTTATCATATCTGCTGTCAATGGTCCAACGTTTAGTTCCCCTGAAAATTTCCTTGGGTTGATAGTATTACAACTAATGTGTTAAAAATTCTTGTTTCAATGCTTTCAAAAATAATTTTCTATTCTTCCTCATCTGTCTTCGCTTAAAATTGATTATTTATTTCCAAAAGCTGCAAAGTAGACCTAACTGATGGTGTTCAGGTGTTGTTTGTCTGATGGTTTAGGCTTGTTGGCTGGTAGGCGAAGTAGTAGTGTGTCGCTGTATTTCTGTATAATATGCTAATTTAATCCTGAACTAGTTACCTACCCAAAACAAATAAATATAAAATTCTGTGATTAACCAGTTTCTGTATGGAGTTTGCTCTTTCGATTTTCTTTTCGTTTTCAGGCTAGATAATTCAATACCCAGTTGATTTGTAGATTAGCTATATTGCATTCTCAGTTACTCTCTCATCAATTTGCCATGAGTTTGAGTTAAAATCTTGTGCTAAATCATCTTATTAGCAAATATGTGAATATTCGAGAATTATACCTGAAACCAGTGGTTTGACGAATAGATGACTTGAGTTTCAAGATTTCTCGGTACAAGTATTTTTTAATGCTCCTTGGTTAGCTGATTCTGGGGTGTTTTTCCTAGCAAAGCTTTTATTTTTTTGTCTAGATGGTTTTTTATTTCCCTTTTTCAAAATAGTCTGATTCTAAAGAATGAGGGGGGAAGAATGGTAATCAAAGATCGAATGAAGTAAGCTAACTGCTAGGTTAGGGTCCTGCTTGACAATAATTTATCTGAATTTCATTGAATTGTGTGTTTAGCCTAAGACATTATTTGGTTGCTTAATCTTATTTAAAGTCTACCTTTACATTTCTCGACTTACTTTTGCTGATTATTGTTGATTTTATCATTCATCTGTCTCTTTGCAGAATTTGAGGTTCTATTTTGCAACGGGTCTTCATATATCTCATGGAACATTGTCACTCATCTTCACCCACGCATTCAAGGAATTTTCCGATATGAGTCAGAGAATTAAGATTCATAAGGAGCCCATTTTCAACCTTGTTCCTGTCTTGGGTGCAGGAAGCTCTGCAGCATCTATAGACGACATAATTACCTGTGAGCTATTTGCCAGTAAGTCTTAGCTGTCCGTTAGCTTGTGCACTACCATCTGTTTATTTAATATGTAACCAGTGACGGAAAACAGTAACGAGAAAGTAACAAAAAGTCAAAAATACATTCCTATAATCAATAGCTTCTGTGGTGGACTTGCAAATGTCTGCTATAAAATGTTGTGGCAATTTGGTATTGCCTTCAAAATTGAATTTTCAAGATGCAAATTCTGATAAGAATACAAAATTCAGCATTAAAGTTGTTTATTGCAAATTTGTTTATTTCGTGTTTTCTGCGCTATTCTTTGTCTTTTGAATATAAATTATAATGTACAACTATCCTTTGTGAAGGGGAGGGGGAAATGGGAATGGATGTGACGCAATAGGAGAGATTCCATCCCACATTAGTCGCAAGGTGGGATGGCACCTGACCACTGTGTCATCTTTTATTATGCTGAATAGACTCGAGTTATCCAGGAAAAGGGAAAATAGACAAGAAACAAACTAATGAACATGACTCTATTTACAATGTTTCAGAGAGTATCTGGTTATTGTGTTTGAATATGTTTTATTTTATTTTTATGTGAGGATTTTAGTAAATCAGTTTAAAATGTTAAATTCTTTTCTTGGAAAATCAATTTTAAATGTTTCATGAGTGGTATGTGGTGAAGAGAAGCAGGGATAAATATTATGTTCTACTGCCCTGTTCAAGAGGTAAAAGTTACAATGGGCAAAATTTTCTACAAAATTGATTACCAAGGCATGAATTTTTGATGTTTTTGGCGGGTTTTGGAAGACCTAGTGGTATCTTGTTTGTGTATGGTCATTCGGAGTATGAGCACAGATGTGAACAATGGTCCAGACTAACTACTCATGGAAGGAGCTTGGATGTCCCCTGGCTTTGTTTGAGGGATTTTAACGATATTGCATATATTACAGGGGAGGGGAGGAGAGAAAGGGAGAACAGAAATTGAAAACTTTCAGAGATTTGATTGATGGGTGCAATTTAGTGGATTTAGAAAGCAAAGGATGTCGATATACATGGAATAATCATAGAGAAGGGGATGCGAATGTAAGGGAAAGACTGGATAGGGCTATGGCTAGTGTAAGCTGGAGGGTCAAATTCCCTAATGCTATAGTAATTGTTCCAATAGTTATTGGGTCTGACCATTCTCCTTTAGTAGTGGATACTGAACCTATGAACAGAAGCCTAGAAGAAGCTTTAAGTTTGAAGCAGCTTGGGCTGATGAAGGGGAGTGTAGAGAGGTAATAAAAAATAGATGGATGCAAGTTGGGGAGGGGTCAAGATTATACAGTCTTAAGCAAAAAAATAAAAGGATGCAGTAGAGAATAATCTAAATGGAGTGGGTTGAATTTCAGGAATAGCAAAAAGAGGATTGAAGATTTAAAAAGAAAGCTTGGAGATGCTCAAGATGCCCCAGTTTCCAGCTTTTCCCAAAACAAAGTTGGGGAAATCTCGAAGGAATTAGAGAAGTTATGGAGGAGAGAGGAAAAGTATTGGGGACAAAGGTTCAGATTAAAGTGGATTAGACGGGGGGATAGAAATTCCAAATTCTTTCATGCTACGACAATACAAAGGAGACAGAGGAATAGAATGGTAAGATTAAGAATTGAAGATGATGAGTGGATAACGGAACTAGATCAAATCAAAGAGATGGTGGAAGATCATTTCACCAAACTATTCAGTACTTTGAGGGAAGCAGAAATTATATGAATATCTTGCAACATGTTCCAAAGCTTGTAACTGGTGGGATGAATGAATCCCTCATAAGGTTACCAGTGAGGAGATAAGGAGGGCTGTGTTTGAGATTGGTGCTTTAAAAGCACCGGGACCGAATGGAATGCCTGGTTTATTTTTTCAAAAATATTGGGATATTGTGGGGATGGATGTTGGGGCAGCTGTCCAGGGATTTTTTGCCTCCAGGTTTATGCTGAAAGCTTTCAATCTTACTAATGTCACTTTGATTCCAAAGGTTCAGTATTCTGAAACAATGGGGGAATATAGACCGATTAGTTGCTGTAATGTAGTCTATAAGATAATTTCGAAGGTTATGACTAACAGGTTGAAGGAATTTATGCCAATATTGACCTCCCAAAATTAGATTGCTTTCATGGGACATAGACAGATACAAGACAATATTGTAATTGCCTAGGAATTTTTCCACTCACTGAGACAAAGAAGGAAGACTAAGAAATACCAACTGGCAATCAAGTTAGATATGGCTAAGGCATATGATAGGGTGGAATGAGACTTTTTGAGAGATCTCATGCTACAGATGGAGTTCTTAGTACCTTGGATTCACATGGTGATGCAATGTGTTTCAACAGTTGAATATCATTTTCTAGTGAATGGGGAAGTAACTGCAAGGGTGATACTTACAAGAGGACTGAGGCAAGGAGATCCTTTATCCCCTTACTTGTTTGTTATGGTAACTGAGTGTTTTACAGCTTTAATGAATAAGGCAGTGGAGGAAAAGAGAATTAAAGGGCTAACCTTGAGTAGATATGGCCCTAGTTTGGCCCACTTGTTGTTTGCAGATGATTCAATTTTTTTCTTAGAAGGATCGAGATCCAATTGCTTTGAGCTAGTGCAAGTACTAAACAAATATTGCTATGCTTTGGGGCAACTCATCAACTTGAACAAATCAGGTGTGTTTTTTAGCAATAATACTCCCTTGCAAGTTCAGCAGGAGTTGGTTGGGATTCTTCGTGTGCCTCCTATCACGAGGACAGGAAAATATTTGGGTCTCCCTACAAAATGGGGGAGATCTAAAAAACAAACATTAAGTTGGAGCAAGGAAAGGGTTCTGACGAAAATTGCAGGATGGAAGGAGAATCTACTGAATCATGCTGGGAAAGAAGTCTTGATCAAAGTAGTGGAGCAAGCCATTCCCTCGTATGCAATGACTATCTTTAAGTTCTCAGTTAATTTTTGTCAGGAGTAAGAACAATGGGGAAAGAGGGATACATTGGAAAAAATGGGATATTTTGACAAGAAAGGAGGATGGGGGTTGGGATTTCGTGATTTGGAGAAGTTCAATGAGGCTTTGTTGGCTAAGCAAGTTTGGAGAATGATTCAAAACCCTGAAACTTTATGGGTAAGGATCTTGAAAAAGAAGTATTTTCCTAATGTTTCTATTTGGGATGCCAATATAAGAACAATTAGCTCATGGATTTGGAGGAGTTTGTTGGCTGGAAGAGATGTCCTGAAAAAATGGTATAGTATGCTTATAGGAAATGGAGAGCAGACTAGAATATGGGAAGATCCTTGGGTGCCTGGTTATAAGGAAATTCCCAATGTAAAGCATAGTTTGGGTGAAGGATTTGATTATTTTCCCACAGATGAAGTGGAATCTGGATTTTGTTAAGTCTCTCTTCTCTCCTATTGTTTCAAAAAGTATTTTAACTTTACCCATTAGTTTTACCCAGCAAGATGATAAGGCTAGATGGAGTGGTACTATGAATGGGCAGTATACAGTGAAGAGTGACTATAATAGTTTGACTTCTGCTATCCCCCTTAATGAAGGACATGCTTCTGTTTCTTCCTCTTATATGATCCCAGGGGAACTATAGAAGGCTGTTTGGAAAATCAGTGCTCTGTCAAAAATCAAATTGTTTGTGTGGAAGGCAGTGTCAAATGCCCTAGCTACTAATTGGAATCTTTGGAGAAGAAAATTTCTAAAATCTCCCTTATGTCCTATCTGTGGGGAGATGGAGGAGACTATAGAGCATGTATTTTTACTTTGTTCCTGGGTTGGAGAAGTTTGGAAAGACTCTCCTCTAAAGATACTTGTTGATAGACAGAAGATAATAAGGTTTGAAGAGTGGGTTTTGGAGGTGCTGAAACAGCAGGGTAAAGGTGAGGAAGGATTGTGTCATCAGACACTAGTAGCTTCATTGTTGTGGGCTATATGGAAATGTAGAAATAATTGGGTATATAATCGGGTTCAGATTTTGCCCAGAGGAGTGATAAGTCAAGCTATCTTTGTCGTTGAGGAATGGAGGGGCTGTGTTATGAATGAGCATGATAATGGTAAGAAGAAAGAGAGTAAAGTAGATGTATGGAAAGCTCCACCAAAGGGTTGGGTAAAAGTTAATTGTGATGGAGCTTGGTTGCAGGATCAGAAAGGAGGGGCCTTTGGAGTAGTCTTTAGAGACAGTGAAGGAATGTTAATACAAGGAAGTGCAGATAAGCTTGCTGCAAACTCAGCCATAATAGTGGAAGCATGCGCCATTAGACAAGCTTGTTGTATAGCCATAGCTGCAGGGTATCCTTCACTAATAGTGGAGTCAGACTCCAAAGCATATGTTGATGCTTTGAATAATGGTAATAATTGCTTTCTGAGGGAGATTGAGGCTATCCTGAGGGACATTTGGGAATACATACATTTGATTCCTAAGATTGAAATACAATATGTGAGTAAAAAAAACAATAAGATTGTACATTGGGTTGCGAAACAGAAAAGTAGGGATATACTTTCTCCTGGTTTGATGTATTGACCTACTGAGATTTTGGAAATGATGTGAAAAGGAAGCACGTGAGGGAGTAGGATGATTTTGGCTCATGTGTTTTACTTTACCGTAGGGTGCTTTCTTTTATCTGTGTTTTTCTGTTAAAGTAATTTGTAATTGTTTTGATTCTTGTAAACTTCATTCTTTTCAAATAAAAGAAATATAATCTGGTTGACAAAAAATGAAAGAGTAACTTTTCCGCCTTGCCATCTGGGGTAAGGTTCGGGCCTCATTATAATTATTTTGATCGATCTTAGGGGCCCATTGCCGTTGTAGGCCACAATTTAGTTTCGTTGATGGCTACACCCAAGATCAAATCATGTTTTCCCGAAAGGATTTAGTGCAATTATATCGGGGTTTAATTTGAGGTTTTAATACATTATCAATGATGATAATTCGTAATGAATTTAATATGGTTTATGGTTAATCTTATGATAGTGACACATTAGCTCTGTGCCAGTGACACCAGCAAAGCAACATTGGTGGTACAAGGATGGGCCAAGGACCAGAGTTTGGTGAGCTGGTCTGTCGCACCAGTAATGTCTTTATCCTATTTGGGTGAAAAACACTTTGTATTCGTAAAGATCTTCAAAGTATTAAGTGAAAATTTGGGCGAAAATTGGGGCTGGGTCTCCCTCAATGGACTTATAATGAGTTACTTTATCAAAAAAATTTATTTAAGGATAAATCTGTTTTTAATTTTACTAATAATTAGTTAAATTTATTATTTTTTTAAAATTTTAAAATATCTTTTCTTGAAAAGAGGTTAAATTAATTTCTTATCTTGAAAATTATTATCCCCTAATTCAATGTCAATTAAAATATGTTAATAAAATTTTCATAATAAATTTAAAATTTAAATTCAAATTCAAAACTCTCTCTCTCTCTGTGTGGCCAACTAGTGGTGACATCGTGGTTGCAAGCGATGTTGAATCCATCGAGGAACTGTTTCGCAGCTTACCCTTTTCACTCGCCTTCGTAGATATGATTAAGATTTCAAAAAAAATCATTTGTCCATTCTTTCTCAAAGCTCAAATTGTTGTTTCATAAAAATTAATATAAAAAAATATTATTATTTTTGGGTTTGAATTTTTTTTTATCATATTACTTTTATGTTACTGTTTTTGTTAAGTATATTTCTATTCATGTTACTATTATTTTGAGCATGTTACTATTTTTGTTGAACATGTTATTATTGTTATTTTTTAAAAATATTAATATTGAATATTACTATGTTTTTATGTTTAAATGTTACTATTTTTTTATATATAAATAATATTATTTTTTCTGTTTAAATAATAATTTTTTCCTGTATTTGAATGTTACAATTTTTTATTTTTAATGTTACTATATATATATGTTTGTTTGTATGTGTGTATATGTATATACTTCTAACCTATATATGGATATAAATAGATATAAGAGAGAAAAAAAAATTTAATGTTAGTCAAACTCCTAAAATTTAAGAATTTTTAATTGTAAATTTTATTTCACTTCTAAAGGGAATGAATAGTTTGGTAAAATTGACAAAAAAAAACGGATTTCAGAACAAATAAATTTTTCTTGACAGATTTAAGTTCATATATGGGAATCGGCCTCTAAATTTTTTCTATTTAATACCGCATACAACCTCTTAAATAAACCCACTTTTTTGGGACGTATTTTGGCAAAAAAAACATTTTTATCCTCAAATATCTCTAGGATATAAATATTACTCTTTATCTTGAGGGTTCTTTAGTTTAATAGTTATACCATCATTCAATACTCCATCCAAATAAAGTATTGGATGAGATAAATGTGGGATATATTATTTCTTAATACTTGAATTAAACATGGGATGAGAACACATTATTACTATAATTAGTCCAAGGGTCAGATGGATGGGTAAAGGATTGACGGCATTATTTGGGTAAAGGATTGACGGCATTATTTAATCCGCTCCTTTCTAATGCTTAAACTAAACACACCCTTAAGGTGTAACGTGTTTTTTTGATCAGCAAGGTGTAATGTGTTCAAATCAATAATTTTGGGACATAACAAAATTATCAGATCGAAATAGGGTAATTCAAAAGTAAAAGTGAAATTAACCTATTTTGGAAGTTATTAAAGACGTGGATCAAAGTTATTACTATTTTTTGCCCCCATAAACAAAATCCTGACTTCTTCTTACGAGATGGACTGTGACTAAATTTTTAAGAATTTATTCTATGGTTTAGAGTACACATGACAATTGAGTCATGTTATTTGTGTTCAGATAGTATTATTTTAAAATCGTGTCCAATTTTAGTCTATTTTAACCTGATCCATTTACTAAATCATGTCCGATGTCCTAACATTAACCCGAGGTTTTTGATTTAATGTAGAGTTCAAATGTATTAACCTGCATAACTTGGGAACCAAGAACCTAGAACTAGAATTCTCTTTGTTCTCAATTAGCCGACCACTCACATGTCCCCATAAATTGTCCATAAGCAGGGAAATAAGGTAAAAAAAAACTAGAAAAATGCTATTTTGAATGTCTAATCTAGAGACATAATCAATGAAACTTGTTGGATAAAAATAAGCTCCATCAACCATCGGAATTTACAGCCATGGGCGGAGCCACCTCGCGGTCAACCCCCCCCCCCCCCCCCCCCCCCCCCCCCCCTTTTAATTTTTCGAATTTATCTTATACACCCTTTAGGTTTTGAAAAATCATATACCTCTACTTGAATTTTTAAAATATATATACAATGCATTTGATGTAAATATTGAAAAAGCTTTATGGACAGATATTTAATAACCAAATAGAAGAAAAATACCTCAAAAGCTGCAAGTTCAGATTGTAAATTTAAATTAATTCGTGTCAAACCAAAATTTCTAATGATAATTATTCGTAGTAATTACACTATATATGTCACAAATTGGAGAATTGTGGATCGCGATATTGTTTTAAATTAATTTTACAATAGAAAGTAGAATTAATTTTTGAATTTAATAATTCAATTATTTTTTGCAAAGTTAATTTTATAAGTTCTAAATGGACTAAAAATTGGAGATTGACGATGACTTGTTGAATGACCCTTTGAAAAAAAAAAAATTATTGCGCCAGCATTTGGTTTTCCTCACAATAAAATTCCGACTCCATCCCTATTATAGCTAATCCAATGGCCGTAGTGCGTTAGGTCTTGTATTAGGTCCCTATTGTAGTGCTCAAAACATTCTTTAATCTTATAGACATATTTATACAATATCATATAAAGTAGCAAAAAAAACACCTAAATTTTTTTCATACAACATAGGATAAAGAGAAAAATTATTGGGTGTAACGGTTACATTATGTCATCATGCTAATATGGTGTAACCATTTAATAATAAGAGAACATATAGACAAGCGATTGTCATATGCAGTGGTTACTGCATGACATGGATGAGTAGTTATTTAATTATGTGAGATTCACTTTCTTATATGTTATCTTATTATATTAAATAGTTATATTATATTAGTATGAAAACGTGGCATTACGCCCAATTTTTTCAATAAAGGGTTGTTATTCCCAAATCAAATTATTGGTATTTAACACTAATTTACCCATTGCCCGTTTGCTATAACATGTTGCGCTAAAATTCGTGCCCCTTAGTTTAGAGTGATTCAACTTCAAAACTAGAATGACCTTTTGCTTTTTGAAGGTGGTTTAGTGGTCTTTTTGTTTTTTTTGAAGCCATGCCAGCACCTAATTTCTATTTTAAGCCATGCATTGCAAATATTTAGCTCCTCCCTTTGAGGTCATGCCAGCATTATCCCTCCTTTTTTTAACCCTAGCCAGCACTTTCAGGATGCCTTTAGTTGCAGTTTAAATTGTAAATATAAACAACGCCATGATGTACATTTAGAGAGAGGGAGAGATGGCAATGGCAAAAACCACCCAGCAGCAGTTTGTGCCACCAATTGTTCTTCTTATGGGACTTGTGGCCTGCAATCTCATCGGTGGGTGGTTCATATTCAGGTCCGTATCAACGGACTTCCAAGAATCCATTAGTGATTTCGATGACAACCAGGAATGGGGTGAGTTCATGTTCCTGAGTGGTCTTCTCACCGTTGTCGTCCCCGATGCCATTTTCTTTTCCTTCCATGAATTCTTCTGGTCCAAGTCCGACGCACATGCTGCGGACTCCGGCCAAACAAAGTCCGGCGTTGACCACGAGATTCCATGAATATCGATCTCAATGAAGAAAATTATTTTGAGGGATGAAGGCCACGAGGAAGATCTAAAACAACAAATGGTATTTCCTACAAGCACATAAATTGCAGATAGTAGATTACAGATTTTGAGTGTTAATTCTTAGGTCAAGTGTTATTCGGTTATCATGATCAAGTGGAATATCATATTTAAATACTCTTCATATGTATTTGTATTCTTTCATTCAATGATCTTACTTCTTGGTAAACAATAAAAATATATACATATTTCCTGGCACTTTCCTTTCCCCATTTTTCTGCCCCCGCCAAAAATTTGTTGTCATCGATTCCACGTCGTGGCATAAATATTCTAAAGGCTTAAATAGATATTCTAAGAATAATAATACGAACTAAGATTATTAGCACTTTTAATAATGGTACGTGGTCAATAACAATAAAATGCTCATGAATAGAAAGAACAATAGCTAAACTTGTAAATATATAGCATGTGTTTATAACTAAATAAATTAGAATACGAGTATATCTATATAAATAGGAAAACCAACAAGTAATGTAAATCTTGATAAAACAGAATGTATATAATATATAATATATAAGATAAAAGGAAAGAACCGATTTGCAAGTTTGAGAGGCGTGTGATCACTATCTTAAAGTAGCTAAGGCTTCCCACGTGAGGGTATTGAGGAAAACCAGCGACTCCAAGATCGAACCCAGATACACACAGTAGCACTTTCTCGATGGTCACGTTCACTTGAAGGTTGGAATGAACTTGACTCGAATCGAATTGCTCAAAAATAAAATAATAGATGATAATTGAACAGGTAAGCTAAGTGTAAAAGAATTGAAATAAGCAATTGGAAGGTCCTGGAGTGTTGATTTTGTTGCAGGCCACAAAATTTTTCAAAGCCACTTATATAGCCAATGTGTGTGTAACGTACATATGATAACTATTGATTTTTTTTTTTAATCATTTGGCACATGCTTCTCCAGAATAGCCATAAAACCAATTTTAATACATAACTAGGACAAAAAAATCTGCAATTGAAATTCACAATTTAAACATTATTTAAATAAAAATTCAATAAAAATTTTAAAAACTAAATTTTTATTCTTACAATCCCCCACAAGCTTATTTCAAATATTTTATACTTTAATACTAAAAATATGGGCAACTATTATATTGTGCAATAGGGGTAACTGTTTTCTGGACTTAAATCTCACTTAGTATTAACAGTTTTCCTCTGAATAATCATAGTGACCAAAGACTTGAACTAGATTCTTTGAACCAGAGTTCAGCTTGTCACAAACACGATACCGATATTGGTCAAGATTTGTGGGTCAGTACTATTAATAGTCATGCACTTGATCTTGATTCTCATGAAAGTTTTTAGAGAATAGCCTAATTCTCATAGTCGCGGTCTCACGACTACTCTCACTTAGGTGAGCCCTCCAATGGTACATGTGTACAATACCCTGCAGGAGTGTTCCTGTCTCGGTCTCATTCAAGGTAAAACCCTTCCTTACCGTCACACTACATATGCACTTCTGTCATAGGGATGAGCAGGAAAAATATCTCCTCTTAGATATTTCCTAAATAACAGTGCTAATGAGTCACGCAATATGAATTGTTTCTACCCATTAAACTTCCTTCATGGGGTCCCCAATTACAGAAGTTGGGTTACCTCCCAAGGTGACTTCATTGTGGGTTTAAACACATTCCCCTCGACAGTTCTAAGACAGCTTTTCTCAAAAGCCCTTTAGTTAGCTGATCAGCTATGTTTAGCTCAGACTTCACAAAGTCTAGTAAGATTATATTTTTACTCAGCATTTTCTTTATTGATTTATATTTCACTTGTATATGTCTATTCATCTTTATATTATTATGGTTCTGCTTCACAAGCTCAATCACTATCTTACTATCATAGTGTAATGAAATGATAGGTATGAGTTTTTCTACTAGAGGTATCTCTAGTAATAAATTTTTTATCCACTCAACCTCAGTACACGTGGTATCTAAGGCTATAAGTTCTGACTTCATAGTACTTCTTGATATTAGGGTTTATTTTTTAGATCCCCAAGATATGGCTGCTCCTCCTAACAAATAGACATAATCAGTAGTGAATTTTATATCTAAACTATCAGTGATCCAATTTGCATCACTAAAGCCCTCAACTACACTAGGAAATCTACTATAACATAAAGGTAGTCTAAGGTTCCTTTAAGATACTTAAAGACTCTCTCTAAGGCAACACAATGTTCTTTTCTCAGACTATGTGTATATCTACTCAATCTTCCTACAGCATACAAGATATCTGGTCTAGATTTAATAGCTATGTATAACAAAGACCCAATAATTTGTGAGTACTGTAATTGTGAAATCGGTTCTTCTTTATTTTTCTTCAAATGTACATGATGATTATATGGTGTTGATACAGATTTACTATTATAAAAACCTAAATTTTTCAACATTATCTCTGGTACTAGACTGACTTACAGATATTCCATTAGATGTTTTCTCTATTTTCATTCCCAAGACTACATAAGCTTCTCCCAAATTTTTTATATCAAACTTAGTAGATAAATATGATTTAACATCATTAACAACCACCAAGTTTGTCCCAAAAATTAGTATATCATCTACATAGAGACATAAAATCACACAACCAACATCACTATCCCTGTAGTATAAACATTTATCATTTTCATTAATTTGAAAACTTTAATCTAGAATTACTTTGTCAAACTTCTCATGTCACTGTTTTTGAGCTTGTTTAAGGCCATATAAAGACTTCACTAACTTACAAACCTTATGTTCTTGTTCTTTTACCATAAACCCCTCAGGTTATTCCATATTTATCTCTTCATGTAAATTCCCACTTAGAAAAGGGGTCTTGACATCCATTTGATGTATTACTAAGTTATGGATAAATGCTAGGCCTTCTAGTATTCTAATGGTAGTGATACTAGTCACGGGCGAGTATTTATTAAAATAATCTATCCCTTTCTTTTGAGTAAATCTTTTAGCCACCAGTCTAGCTTTATATTTATCTATACTCTCATCAGGTCTTAGTTTCTTCTTAAATATCCACTTACACCCAATAGTTTTGCTTCCAAGAGGCAATTCTACTATCTCCCAAGTATTATTAAGCAATATAAGATCGGCAATCAGTGGAAGATACATCAACTTCACCTTGCTCGATGACTTGTCTATGAAAAGATAAGAGCTAATCAATAGCATGTTGTATGCTCTGTCATAACGTGCTATGAATCATCATCAGCATCAACAGAGACACCTCCATCCAAATGAGCTCGCAATGCACTAAGCCTGAGGAAAGACCCCTCTATAGCTCTCGCAGTAGGAGTAAAACCAAGCAACTGCTGGCATAGTGCAAGCCAAATCATGAGAAGTCTTTATATGGTAAAAGGTTTGGAACATAAGGTTTTTAAGTTAGTGAAGTCTTTATATGACCTTAAACAAGCTCCTAAACAATGGCATGAGAAGTTTGATAAAGTGATCCTAGAGTATGGATTTATAATTAATGAAAATGATAAATGTTTATACTATAAGGATAATGATATTGGTTGTGTGATCTTATGTCTCTATGTAGATGATATACTAATTTTTGGGGACAAACTTGGAGGTAGTTAAAGATGTTAAATCTTATTTATCTACTAAGTTTAATATGAAAGACTTGGGAGAAGCCAATGTAGTCTTGGGAATGAAAATAGAGAAGACATTCAATGGAATATCTCTAAGTCAGTCTCGCACCATAGAGAAAATGTTGAAAAAAGTTTGATTTTTATGATAATAAGTCTATATCAACACAATATGATTCGCATGTACATTTGGAGAAAAATAAAAGAGAATTGATTTCACAATTGAAGTACTGACAAATGATTGTGTCTTTATTATACATAAAAAATAAGTCTAGACTAGATATCTCGTACATCATAGAGAGACTAAGTAGATATACACATAGTTTTAGTAACGAGCATTAGGTTGCCTTAGAGAGAGTCTTTAAGTATTTTAAAGGAACCTTAGACTACTCTTTATGTTATAGTGGATTTCCAAGTGTAGTTGAAGGCTTTAGAGATACAAATTGGATCACCGATAGTTTAGATATAAAATTCACTAATGGTTATGTCTTTCTGTTAGGAGGAGCAACCATATCTTGGGGATCTAAAAAATAAATCATAATATTAAGAAGTACTATGTAGTCAGAACTTATAGCCTTAGATATCATGCGTACTGAGGCCGAGTGGATAAAGAATTTATTTCTAGAGATACCTCTAGTGGAAAAACTCATACCTATCATGTCATTACATTGTCATAGTAAGGTAGTGATTGAGCTTGTGAAGCATAATCATAATAATAAAAAGATGAATAGGCATATTCCAAGTGAGATATAAATCAATAAATAAAATGCTGAGTAAAAGCATAATCTCACTAGATTTTTTGAAGTTTGAGCTAAATATAGCTGATCAGCTAACTAAAGGGCTTTCGAGGAAAGCAGTCTTAGAACTGTCGAGGGGGATGAGCTTAATCCCACAAGGGAATCACCTAGGGAGGTAACTTAACTTTTGTGATAAGGGACCTCGTGAAGGAAGTTCAATGGGTACAAACAATTCATACTGTGAGACTCATTAGCACTGTTATTTATAAAATATCCAAGAAGAGATATTTTTCCTACTTATCCCTATGGCAGAAGTACATATATAGTGTGACAGTAAGGAAAGGTTTTACCCGAATGAGACCGAGGGAAGAACACTCCTGCAAGGTATTGTGCACATGTACCCTTTGAGGACTCACCTAAGTGAGAGTCGTCATGAGGCAGTGACTATGAGAAATGGGCTTTTCTCTAGAAACTCTCATGAGAATTTAGATCAAGTGCATGATCATTAATAGCACTAACATGTGAATCCTGACGAACATCGGTACTATGTGTGTGACATGTTGAACTTTGGTCCAAAGGGTCTAGTTCAAGCCTTTGGTCATTATGATCCTTCAGATGAA